CTGGGATCATGACCTGAGCTGAAGGCAGAGGCTTTAACCCAGTGAGCCACCCAGGCGCCCCGAGAAAGTTTTTACTTTCTGAAGAGTTCTGAAAAGAGATTAGAGAGACCAAAGGTTCAGGAGCCATCAGGAAAATAATTTTCCCCAATGCAAGGGCATGAGTTTGCAGCCCTTGCATTGGACCTTCTGAGTGTCCAGCCCATGAATGAAAATAGCCCCCTATCAAGGCAAAGATCTAAAGCTTCCAGAAGGAGAAAAGAGGTTATATCACTGATTAAGAACAGCATCATTTTAGCACAGGAAGCTAGGAGATAATGGAGTAGCTTCTCCAAAATTCTGAGAGGAAACTTTTCCAAAACATTCTGTACCCAGCTCTTACAGGCTGGATTGTGTTCCCCCAAATCCTTTGTTGAAGCTCTAACCCCAGCACCTCAGTATGTGATCTGTATTTGGAGATAAGGCCTTTACAGAGGCAATTAAGTTAAAATGAGGCCAGTAGAGTGGCCCCTAACCCAGTCTGACTCTTCCTATAAAAAGAGGAAAGTTGGATGTGCAGAGGAAAGACCATGCGAGAACATCACAAGAAGGCAGCCATCTGCAAGCCAAAGAGCAAGGCCTCAGAAGAAACCAGCCCTGTCAGCACCTTGATCTTAGGCTTCCATTCTCCAGAACTATGAAAAACTAAATGTCTCTTGTCTCAGCCGCCCAGTCTATGGTATTCTGTTAAGGCAGCCCTAGCATGGTAACACCAGTCAACCTGTCAGGGAAAATGAGAGGAGAAAAAGCGATTTTCAGCCATGTAAGATCTCACAAAAGGATATTCCTGAAGCACCCTTTCTCAGGAAGTGTTTGGAGGATGTACCCTACTAAAATGAGGACATAAAGTAGAAATAAGAAAGACCTAGATCCAGGAAACAGGGAGCCCTGAAGCCGTCGCAGCACCAAGAGGATGGCCAGTCAGGCAGAGCAGCCTTTTGTCCCCACAGAGATACACCTTCAAACAGACACAACCAGCAGGATGCCTGCTGTGATGGAATGTATGCAGAAGAGAGAAATCAGACACAGGGACAGCGGGACAAACAGAAGGCTGTGCAGGAAAGGAAGACTGAATGGCTCAGCTATGACTCAGATGTACATGGTCGCCACCACATAAAGCCGTGTGCAGGCCCTGCCAGCGATGCACTCCTGTGGGGGGGAGGGACAGGGCAGGTGCAGGGCTGTGTATCAGGGAGTACAAAATCCTCTCCTTCCGTGGAGAATGCCTCTTACTGACTAGCAGTATAAGCTCCTTAAAGGTACCTGCTATTCTCAGTTGCAAAAAAACAGGCCCTGTTGCTGTTGGTGGGAAAATAGCTTAGTAGAATGTTTCTGAGGGCCTGTTAGTGACTGTATTATTGAGAGCCTTAAAAATACGTGCAACACCCCGCCCAAAAAAAAGAAAGAAAAAATTTAATTATGCAGGCCTTTTATGGTAGAATAACACTTCCAAGAAAAAAATCAGAGCTGTGTGCAAACACATGAAGCTGCTCACCACAGCAATTTAAAATACCCCAACCTGGAAGTACTATCCAGTGGTGAAAGCCTGCCTCTCCCGGATGATGGAATTCTCTGTAGCCTTTAGAGCGTACTAGAAAAGAAATTCATCGACTTGAGACTGGGGAAGTATGGGAATAATTTACATAAGCATATATAGTAAAGTGGCCGGAAATATTTTTGAATGGTGGAGTTATCGATGATTTTTCTTTTGGGGGTGTGTTTTGCATTTTTTACATTTTGAAAATGGCGGTGCTTCTGCAGAAGGATGTACATTCAACCTGAGAATAAAGGATGTGGTCGAGGCATAGTTATAATTCTCTGGTTTCATTTCTTTTTTTTTTTTTTTTTTTTTAAAGATTTTATTTATTTATTTGTCAGAGAGAGAGAGAGGGAGAGCAAGCACAGGCAGACAGAATGGCAGGCAGAGGCAGAGGGAGAAGCAGGCTCCCTGATGAGCAAGGAGCCCGATGTGGGACTCGATCCCAGGACACTGGGATCATGACCTGAGCCGAAGGCAGCTGCTTAACCAACTGAGCCACCCAGGCGTCCCTCTGGTTTCATTTCTTAATTGAGTAGATTATGATTTCTATTTCAAAGCCATTATTCAAAGTATTATGAATAACAGGGAAGTAAGGGACATGGGTGGCTGGCACATGAGTCAACAAAATCAAGTGTTTATTCTAAGCCTCCAAGGAGTTTCTGAAAATAGTATTTTATCTTCACACTCAGGATGAAGCTGGAGGCAGATTCGTCGCTTTCTCTGGAGAAGGACAGTCGTTGCGTAAAAAGGGAAGAAAGCCATAAGTTGGGACTCTTGGCTGACTGGAAAATAAAATAATCAATTGCAACATAATGGCTTTTAGTTACTGGCTCTGATGGGGATGAGACTGTTGCAGAAGATGCTCTGTCACTTTAGGTTTTGTTTAGAGTTACCTAAGAATTACTGCGTGTGACCTGGAAGTGAAACAGTCAGACTCGGTGGATGATTTGGGGAAGGAGAAACCTCACTCTGAGGTCTGGCAGGCAGCCTCCTCCTCGCCCCTTCTTGCTTTCAGCCCTTGAGGGGTTGCTCCCACTGCCTTAGCCAAAGCAGAGTTCCCTAATTCCTGATGGAAGTCAATGGAGGGGATTGAACTGCTCTAACTTGAGGTGTTTCTCTTTTTTTCACTTATTCCTTGCTTTTCCACGTCGATAGCTTAGAACATTGCCTTTGGCCTAGAAAAAAAGTGGCTTAAATAGATCCGTGCTCTATAAATAGTGGTTATCCCATTACTCTGGCTGCAATTGTATGAGGAAGGGTGTTTCTATTTTTATTTTACATTTTGATATTCTCCCCACGCTCAAAGAACCATTCTTCAGAAGGCGGATTCCTGATCTGAATATATTTCATCTTGTAATTTGATTTCATATGGAGATAATTAGCTCCTTAATGAATCTGTTCTACAGTAAAACAGCTTCATGATGAAGCACAAATAGGAATATTAGGATAAATAAGTGCTAAAGATACAGTCCTCTTTCTCCTTCCCTACCCCCCACTCCCAGTTTTAATGTATTAAATTATCCAAGGTTCTGCTGGCCTACCTTTTTTATTAGCATTAATTTGGTCTCGGATCACTTTCTATAATGTGAGCTCTTTTGACATGTTAATCTAATTTAATCTCTTTTGTTCCTTGAAAAGAGTTTTACATCAAGAATTTCAAATAAAAACAGGCAATGATTAAACCTGGATTGCCTCTAAATGTTTGATTAGGTATCAACATGGGTTGGTTGGGCCACCAACCAGGAGTTGGAGGAAGACTTGCTTGCAAGTGTCCCTTGTTCCATCCTCTGGGAGGCTTCTGGAGAATGTATGGAGAGATGAGGCTCTCTGACCCCTGCGTTGGGGATGGTCAGCCCGAACAGGGTCTCCTTTTGTAGGAGGACTCCTGGTATCCTATCCAGTCTCTGGATAGAACTCCCTCAACACTCAAGAGAGGATGTTCCCTTCAGGATGGTGGCCCAGGGTCCACCCACATGTCATCAGATCAAGAGCATAGGTGATTGTCATGAAGATGAGGGCTGGGCTATGGCTCAAAGGGTCACCACTGACGATGGGCAAGGTTTCAACAGGCATGAAGCACTGCTGTGACTTCCCTGACCCTCCCCTTAAGGGGTCTCTGTTTCACTAGCTGAGGTGGAAGCCCCCCTCGGTGGGTAGGCAGCCTCCATTTCCAGGATCACATTGGCTAATGTGTCATTTTATGCATAATGAATTTTACAGTAAGACGTTGTTTGGCCTTGGGTTTTTGTCTTCCCTAAGCAACATCTTCTGTGTGAGCAATGAAAACACTCCTGGTCCTTTGCTTGAGCCACACTTTCCTGCCTGGGCCAGGGGTGGATCCTGTTGGTGAGCTTCTGGTAACGCGGTGGGTGGGGGGGGTCACCCAGAGCAAAAATCCTGGTCATTACTGCTGCACCCTGGCCTGCAGCCTTCTCTGTCTTCGAGCTTGGTCTGTGAACCAGCTTGGCAGGACCCCTGGTTAAATTGCAGCTTTCTGGCCCACCTTCAGGGAGTCTGACCCAGTCTGGATACTGGGGTGGGCCCAGCAACCGCGTTGTAAGCACCCCCCTCCCCCGGAGGATTAAGTTTGTGGAAGTTGGAGAACCCCTGCATAGGTACTGCAGGTCTCCTCCGCAGATCACCAGCCTCTTTGCTTTTATTGCCTCTTGTCACCTCCTTTTTATAAAGGTTCCATGTCTTCCCACGCCTCAGAGTAAAGCCTTCACTCCTAATCAGACATGCAAGGCGCCCCACACTTAGCAAGGTTCTCCCCTCTACCCCGTGTCACACACAGCCTCCACGCCTTTGACCAGCTCATCACTGTGCTCAGAACACCCTTCGCTCGCCTCCACTACCAGCCTGCGTTCCCTCCAGAGATCATCCGGCGCCCTAGAGCCCCAACTCCCAACAGGTCACAGCGGGCCACCCTCACCGAGTCCGCTGCATCCACAGACTTGACAGCTTTGCCACACGAGCCGATGATCAGTATGTGCTTATGAAAACGAACCCTATCTTTTGAGATTTAATAAAACTGCTGAAAACCGGCGTGGACCCCGTGGTTTCAGAAATAGCTAACAAGGTGGCTGTGCATCCCGGGAGGCCCGCCAGGCACCAGAGGAAGGGCCACTGACATCTCTTCATCCTCTCAGCCCGCGCGCCACCGTGCTTTCTACCTCCCGGCAAACCCCCGCCCGCTCCGCCCCTTGGCCATCCTGAGCACCTCCTCTGCTCGTCACCGCCCCCCGGCTGTTATTGGCGGCTCATCCCGGAAGTCTTGTTTATTGGCGCGTCTCAAGGAGGTGGGGGAGGAGTCCAGCGTCACAGCGCAGAGTTCATTGGTTCCTATCCGTCTATCACACGGTACGCCTTTTCTTCAATCTTCATTGGCTAGCGAGCTCAGAGGCGGGGTTCCGCAGTCGCCCGGACATGGCGGATGGTGGAGGCTGGCGGGTGAGTGCTAGGGGCCCCCGCGACGTGCAGGGACCTTCTTGGGCCGGACGACCGGATTACCCGAGGCTTCTCCCAAGTAAGGGGCGGGATGGAGGTCCCTAGGCGGGTAGTGCGGTGGCTCCTGGCTCAGGCGTGCTTCTCGCTGCAGCCGCCGCGCCCCTGCGAAGTCTACGGCGCGGAGTGGAAGCTCTGCCGCAGCGCCAGACACTTCCTGCACCACTACTACGTCCACGGCGAACGGCCGGCCTGCGAGCAGTGGCGGCGCGACCTGGCCAGCTGCCGGGAGTGGGAGGAGCGCCGGAGCGCGGAGGCCCAGGTGCACTGGGGAGCTGGGGGTGGCGCTGGGCCGTGGGGGTGCATTGCCCCGGCGTCCGAGTGCACGGACCACACCCTCCCCACGTTCCAGGCCCGGGGGCGCTGGAGAGGAGTACTGTCTGGGTCCCCCTTTGGTTGTGCTTCCTTCCTTTTGAGAAGTAACAAATATTAGTATATCAACGGGGGTTTCAGACACTGAAAAACGAAGAAAGGAAGAGAATGTAGAGTGGTTTGGAGAGAGAGGAGGGATCCCCTAATAGCGTTAGTGTCCTCAGCAGGCCTGCAGAGGAGTTGATATTGCTGAGGCCTGAAAGACCGGGAACCAGCCTTAACAGCCTTCACCCAGCCCAGGGCGGGGCGCATCTGAGGAGCACAAAGAAGGATCAGGTGCTTGGAGCAGAAGGACCGTGGGCTATAGAGGGGTAGGGGATGAGGCTAGAGAGGTACCAGGGACCTGGTGGGGCTTAAAGATGGGTTTACAGATCATGGGAAGCATGATCTGATTTATATCTTGAAAAGATCAGCCGTGGGTAGCTCAGTTGGTTAAGCGTCTGACTGTTGACATCAGCTCAGGTGTTGATCTCCGGGTCAGGAGTTTAAGCCCAGCATTGGGCACCAGGTTAGGCATGGAGCCTACTTAAAAAGGGGGGTGGGGGGCAGGGAGTGCCTGAGTGGCTCAGTTGGTTGGGTGACAGACTCTTGATTTAGGCTCAGGTTGTGATCTCTGGATTGTGGAATCAGGCTCCATGCTGGTCAGGGAGTGTGCTTGGGTTTCTCTCTCTCCCCCTCTCTTTCTCTCTGTCTCCCACGTCACCCCTCCCTCCCCTTCCCTCTCTTAAAAAAAAAAATATATACACACACACACACACACACACACACACACACACACACACACAGGTATAGATATTTATCAGTCTGACTGCCAGGGTGGGAGAGTGTATTATGGAGGGCCAAAGAGACCAGTGAGGAGGTGGTTCTGGTTTTCTATTCATTCAGCGAATATTTATCATGTTGGGAGCTCTTAAAGATAGAGGAGTGATGAGAACAGAGCCCCTGCCCTTCTGGCACTTTCATTCCAGTCTAGAATAGGTAGTGGTGCCTTGGAACTATTTTGGATGGGGACATGAAGAGAAGCTTGAGGGTGCAGTGCTCATGGTGAAGGGGGAAGCAGGGCTGGCAGCTGCTTCAGCATGCTTAAATGTATGTGATTATTGAAACAGACAAACAGATGTGGAAACCAAGCTTCTGTATAAAAGAAAATGATGACAGGTCTAGTATAAGTGGAAATCAAAAAATTGGGAAAGATAGCTTGTAGTTTGTATGGCAAGAAATTAATAACTTTTTTAGGGAGAGCTCAGAAAGAGCTTTTCTTATCACAAAAATGGGGATGATTTCAGGATAGAAAAGTGGGGAGAGGGGATGCCTGCGTGGCTCAGTCGGTTAAGCATCTGCCTTCAGCTCAGGTCATGATCCTAGGGTCCTGAGATGGAGCTCTGTGTCCGGCTCCCTGCTGAGCAAGCTCCCTAATTCTCCCTCTGCCCCTCCCCCTGCTCCTGCTTTCTCTCTCACCCCCCTCTCAAGTAAGTTTTTTTTTTTTTAATCTTTTAAAAAAATGGACAAAGGGCACAAAGAAGGAATTCATTCAAAAAGAAAATTAAATGACCTGGTATATAAGGTCAGATGACAAGTGATTTCTGCCCAGTGAAATGTCAAAAGTGTTGATAAGGGTTTGGAGAGTCAGGGGCCCTTGTGCAGTGTTGGTGGAGTGTTGACTTATCCTGATTATCTGTCAAAAGGATACCTTTTGACCTCCTTATTTTACTTCTGGAAGTCCATCCTTGGGAAGTAACTGGGTAACAGTGCATTTAAAACTTCAAAATACCTGGGGTGCCTGGGCAGCTAAGTCAGTTAAGTGTCTGCCGTTAGCTCAGGTCATGATCCCAGGGTCCTGGGATCAAGCCCCACGTAGGGCTCTCTGCTCAGCAGGGAGTCTGCTTCTCCCTCTCCCTCTGCTTGATGCTCCCCCTACTTGTGTGCTCTCTCTGTCAAATAAATAAAATCTTTTTAAAAAAAATTCAAAATACCTGTTGCATCACTATGATAGTACAAACACTGAAAGCATCCTAAATGCTGCTAGTAGACGTGTAATCAAGTAACTTCCTCCACACAGTGGGGTACAACTTAGCCATTAAAAAAAATAGATAGCAATCTATCTGGGCAGGGAAAGGTACCCATAGTATACCTAGTGATAAACCATGGAAGTACACTAGGCAGTAGATTATTCCATCTTTAGGGAAACACTATTAGCACTAAAATTTGGGTCTAAAATTGTGTTGGGGAAGCTGTTAGTTTCACCACAGGGACAGAGGTCTGGGAGTTTTTCATATCCTTTGCATTTCTGATTGCTTTTTAAGTAAGAACAAAAACATTCTGTTTAAGACAGTAGAGCTTGAGCAAAGACAGACAATGAGATAGAGAAGGTGAAATTCTATCTGTAAAAAGGCCAACATAGTGCTTGGCACCTACCAAGTGCACCTTTCATGGTTATAAGGTACTGCCCTGTGTTTATTTTGGGAAGAGAGTAGCAGAGAAAAGCCCGCTGGTTGAGTGGTACCTATTGTCTTTTGTCTGGATTCCTCCTCCCCTGTCCATAGCTCCCTTAGCATGTGTCTCTTACTCATCCTCCCCACTGAGGCCACTCTTTCAGACTCTTGTCTCTCCTCTCAGCTTGGCCTCATGCTGGTCTCAGCAGGTAAATCTGATTAGGTTGAACTGAAGGCATCAAGTCCTGAGGCCCAGAAGAAGACATTTTAAACTTTACTCAAATGATGGTGATCTGTACAATAGTTTTCACAGTAGCTTAGGAGAAGGAATGATCTAGATCTTTGTGTTTTAGTATGGAATAATCGCCAAGGTTTATTAGGTAGAAGCAGCCAAGTTCTGGAGTGGTATGTGCCTTATGCTTCATTTTTCCAGCTTGTTCGGAAGGGGGCTGAGGAGAAGGGAGTTACAGGGGCGACGTGAGCTGGAAGTGACCGGGGGTCTCCTTTGCACAGCGGTCCCTCTGTGAGAGCGAGCGTGCAAGAGTCCAGGCTACACGGAAGCACGCCCTGGTGTGGGCCCTGAGGCAGAGCCCTCCTGCAGACTGGCACCTCCCTCTACCACAAGAGGAGAAAGACCAGTGATGAGCACTCCGGAACGGCTTCCTCTCATCTGTTTGAAGTGGGGCTGTCGCCCTAAGGACAGTGACCGGCTCAGTCTAGTGGGTCCCTGAATTTTCCACACGGCTTAGAACACAGAGCCTGGGGTCTCCAGCCCTCCTTGCCCACCCCCGCTGCTGCCTTGCTCTGGCAGACAATCTCGCCCACCGCACAGCTCCCAGGATGCCAAACACCACCGCAGATCCCAGTGAGCAGCCAGGTCAGGCCAGTTCATGCTCCACTCCCAGGGACAACAGCATTCTCAGGTAAACTCTTGAGCAGTAGACCGGACCCAAGTGGACACATTGGGGGGAGGGGGGCTCCTAATGAGGTAACTAAATGGTCGTGCTGTGGGGAACACCTTTCCTGGTCTTGGCTTGGTGACAGTGTGCATTGCCAGCCCCTGGTGCTTACATGGAGTTATTAGCCCACTCACTAAGTTCATCTGTGGCATTGCTCTTTGTAGGAGATAGGCCTCTTGGTTTTTAAGAAACGAACACAGCTACGGAATACACAGTCTCGCATTAAACGGGATCATAGACTCTTGGCTCAAGAAACCCAAGCCCAGGATGCGTGGAATTTTAGTCTCCTTCCTTTAAAATTTCCTTTGGTCGGTTTAGAAAATGTAGATTATCTCAAATGCCATTTTACACATGTGATTTCAGACAGACTGAAAATTAAATCCACAATTTAATAGTTGAGATTGTTAGATTTAGCATCTGACATTATTGTACTCAGAAGAGTATGGGAATTTTGTATCCTTCACACCTGTAGGTGTTTTTAAAATATATGCATATGAGCCAACAAGAACTCGAGTTTTTGAAGAGGTCTTTTTTTTTTTTTTTTTTTTTTTTTAGATTTTATTTATTTATTTGACAGACAGTGATCATAAGCAGGCAGAGAGGCAGGCAGAGAGAGAGGAGGAAGCAGACTCCCTGCTGAGCAGAGAGCCCGATGCGGGGCTCGATCCCAGGACCCTGAGATCATGGCCTGAGCCGAAGGCAGCGGCTTAACCCAGTGAGCCACCCAGGCGCCCCTGAAGAGGTCTTTTTATCACTAACGAAATGATTTAGCATCTCGTGCCTGCAGAGCAGGTCCTGTGGCATGGTGCTGAGGGCGAGGCTGGCTGTGTGCTCCGCAGCCTCTCTGCTTCTTCCTGGCCAAGCTGCCACTTTAGTAGCCCCCCTCACGACTGGGCCCCAACCTGGCCACAGGCAGTGGGTCAGACATCTTTTAACTCATTTTTTGGGGCAAAATAATCCCATCACTTCAGAAAGGCACAAATTAAAAATTAGATTTTGCCCTATCATCCTGTATTAACCCAAGAGTCCCTGTGACTGCACATACCTGTAAGTTTGGGGGGATCTGCACATAGAGCCCCAATAACCTCTCCCTGTGTGTGGTATGATGTGTGCACACAAGTCCCCAGTGATCCTTCCCTGTGACTCTGTGTACCAGGGTATGTGTGTGTGTTGGGGGGGTTTACACATAGGTCCCCAGTAGCCTCTCCCTGTGTGTGTGTGTGTACCCGTTGAGTGGTAGGGGCGTTTGCACACAGGCCCCCAACGGTCCTTTCCTGTGACTGCATGTACCTGTGAGTGGGTGGGGGGTGTGCACATAGGAGCCTAGGAGCAGAGGGGTGAGTATAAAGAAGAGCCTATCTCAGCGTGGGTGTTTTGATACCTGAGTCAGCCAGGGTATCTGCCTTGTGTCTGTGGCTACTTTCTGGAGCATTTCCAGCCAAGGAGGAGAGTGGGAAGCTGGGGAGCTACAGGCATTCTCTTCACTCTGAAACAGAAGGGACACTGGAATTTCGCAATCTGCGTATGATCCCTTGGGGTTCCCGGGGCGGGCGGGGGGAGGGGGGTGCTGCAGTGGCAGCCAGCACAGCAGTCCTGAGGGCTCACCACAAGGGATCCACATTCTCTATGTGCTTATTTAGGGCTGGAGGCTGCCCGCCACTGAATGCGCTCTCTGTGAGGAAGTCTTAGTGACAGATATCATTGCTGCACAGAATGTTCCTACGTCTGCTCCTGTTTTAACTTTTAACTCCCAACATCTGAGCACCTGCTACACTGCCCGGTGGGGCCTTTGGCTCTGGGATTGCACTCTTGAGCACCTGCTACACTGCCCGGTGGGGCCTTTGGCTCTGGGATTGCACTCTTGAAATGGGCAAGTTGCCTTCAAAGAGCTCCAGTTGAGTTTAGGGGCCTGACATAAACATTTAAACATCATTAAATAAGTCTAAAATAATGGTAAGTGCTGTGAAGAAAATGGGCAGGGAGAAGATAGAGCAGCTCTCAAATTTTTTGCATGAAACCCGTAACAAGTTTTATGATCTGGTACATACTTTATATGCTACATATATGATTGAAATAAGCCTCACAAAACAGTCCTTATCTGTACAAGGCGTGATACACTGACATTTGCAGTTCTGTGCCACTGAAAAGAAACTGCTGTATGTGCAGCAGCTTGGGTGAAGCTCAAGTAAATTATACCGAGCTAAAAAATCTTAAATGGGTGCATATGACACAGTTGCATTTATGTAACATTGGTGAAATGATGTAATAATAGGGATGGAGAATGGCTAATGGTGCCAAGGGTTAGGGATGGAAGGAGGGTGTGGATGTGGATAGGGTACATAAGGGGATCCTGTGGTAATGGAACCTTGACTCCTACAGAGCTGCATGTGTGATGGAATTGTGCAATGCTAGACATACACACAGGTGAGTGCAGACACAGTGGGAAACCTGAATGCATTCTGGGCTCTGCCTATGTCAGTCTCTTTCTCACACACTGTATGTGGCGTGTAAGATGTTAACACTTGGGGAGGCTGGGAGAACCACATACAGCCTCTCCTTGCATCTTTATTTCCAGCCTCCTATAAATCTGTAACTGCTTCAAAATAAAAAGTTATAACTGCTGGCCCTGACCCCATGAATTGATTATATAACCTAATGGATGAAACCTGTTGTTTGAAAAGCACTAAAACAAAGCACCTGCAGGGGCGCCTGGGTGGCTCAGTCAGTTAAGCATCTGCCTTCAGCTCAGGTCCTGATTCCAGGGTCCTGGGATCCAGTCCTACATTGGGCTCCTTGCTCAGCAGGGAGCCTGCTTCTCCTGCCTGCCACTCCTGCTGCTTATGCTCTATCTGACAAATAAATAAAACTAAAAACAAAACAAACAAAAACCAACAGGGAAGTGGGGAAGGCCTCAGCATCTAAGTCGAGACCTGGATGAAGAGGCCTGAGCCTTATAGGGGAAGCAGCTCACAGTCCACAAGGAACAACTGGGTGCCATGTGCTGATGGGGGGAAGGTGGATGGGGGTGTGTAAGGTGTGATCATGGGTGGTGAGTAGCCAAATGCCGGCCCTGGCTTGTGCTTTACAGAGCCCTCTGGTTGTGCAGAGCAGCTTACAGGGGGTCGGGGAGGGCAGGGGGGAAGTGGCCACGTGGAGGCATCAGTTGGCTGCTGCAACAGTGGAATAGACAAAAGGTGGCAGTGGTGTGGACCTTAAGGGAGCAGTGAGGTTGTGAAAAGTGGCCATATTCAGTGTTTGTCTCAAAGATCGAACTAATGAACTCAGAATCCTTAGGCAGTGTTTTTATCCAGTAAAAATGTTTAGTAAGTTTTTAAACCAAAAGTGAACCCCATACCTGAAGAAAATAATCTGAATTCTTCCTCAAATGAAATGTTTTCTTGGTTTATCTGCACTAAGGCGGTGAAAAACCCAAACTCTTTCTGAGGTAGCAATGCAAGTCACTAGGAGAAATGGCTCTATTTGCTCACTGGACCTTCACTATTTCTGGCTGAATTGTGTTGTTCCCCACCCCCACCCCCCACCCCCTGCCACCAAATTCCTGTTTTGAAGCTCTAACCACTAGTACCTCTGAATGGGACTATTTAGAGATAAGGTACTTAAGGAGGTAATTAATTTAAAAGGAGGTCATAATATTGGGCCGTAATTCAATCTGACTAGTATCCTTATTACATGAGACAGGCAGAGAGGGAGGCCCCTACGAGGACCCAGGGAGAAGGTGGCTCTCTGCAAGCAAAGGAGAACAGCTTCAGGAAAAACCAGTCCTGCCAACACCTTGATCTTGGGAATTCTGGCCTCAAGAGCTATGAGAAACAAATTTCTGTGGTTTAAGCCCCTGGACTATGGTACTTTGCTCTTGCAGCCCCAGCACACTAACACATTCACTATCCCAGACTAACACTTGAATCAAGAGCCGGGTGCTACGCCCTCCTAGGGAGCACAGCAACTTTAAGTAGTGGGTGCCAGACTTGCTCCACTCTCTTCCACTTCCCTCCCCAGCTTAAAACCCAAAGCTGGCCCTGCCAGAGATGTGGGGAAGGTCCCGTGTTCCATTTCCCCAGTGGGAAGGCCCAGCCTCTCCTGTCTGCACAGGTACACAGACAACACACAGCACACAGTCTGCACATCCTTCTCCTCTGCTCTTGAACCTAGCTGCCTCTTGCTGGTGGTGTCTGCCCCACACAACTAGAATCTTTTTTACTGGGGAGCAGCGGTAAATGTCTTGGTCATTCGCTCCCCAGTACCAGACAAGGGCGCCATCTCTCACCTCCATCAGTCTTCCGGTCAATTAATTTTGACTCAAGCATAAGACAGAGACACTTGATTAAACGTATTTATTCACAGCATCCCTGGTTCTGTGACAAGCAAACTTGAGCCCTCGTCCTCCTGGCTCTAAAGGGCAGAGTGTTCTGCAGGCAGGTGCCTGCAGCTCTACCTCTTAAACTCCACCTGTGTGTATACCTTAGTGATATCATGGTACCTGCCTTCAGGGGGCTGGTAGTTGGAGACTGGTGGTGTGTAATCTGGTCCTTCTCTTTCAAAGGGGAACAAATTGAGGTCCCGCTTGGTGGCCTCTGCATGTAGCTCTGGGGACATGAGTTGCAGCTCCTGCAGAGCTTCCTGCTGGGACTTGAGCATGGTCCTGATGGCATCCCTCTCCTTCTCGTGCTCTTGATGCTTGTACAGGGACCACTTCTTCAGAAGCAGAGCTCTCCGCTCACTCTCCTCAAAGGGAAGCTCCACAGGAGGCCGCTGTCTGGGAACACACAAATCCAAAGGTGTAAAGCTGGGAAGCACCAATCTCACTGGCGAGGTAGGCTGGGTGACTGCCTATGACCAAAAAGTCCCCACTGCCAGACAGAGATGGGACTTGGAAAACATGGAAGTTAGGGATAAATTAAATAACGGAATAGTGATGTGGTAGCGGATGCAACTGATGCTGGAAGCATCAGTTACATGGTTACAAGAAACAGTGAGGCTCTAAGAAGACTGGCAGCCCTTCCCTTACCCCAGGCTGAGACTACCTTTGGTGAGTGTGGAAATGTTAAGTGGTGTCATGAAATAGATACCCAAGTCCCAAGGAGACAAGAGCCCAGATCAGCCACAGAATACCAAAAAAGCACTTGCTCTGTCCCACCTGTATGGCAAGCTGTTACTTTAAAAATGGTTCACGCTTTTTACAAGGCAGCAACCCTGCCAGGCCTGTACACATCACATTCCAACTGTGAGCATTTGTACCATAAAGCTAGAGGCTAAGGGGTTTCTACCATCAAGATGAGGCAAGGGCTGCAGACCCAAGGCTCAAGTTATCAGTCACAGCTAAAACTCAGCTTGCAAAAAAGCAACAACATGAACTGGCTTATCAGTTATTCTGAGTTTCCTTCCCATGTCAGCCATTCAGGAGCACCACCCAGGAATGCTTTCACCACCTCCCACAAAACACAGTCAAGGAGAAGAGGACTCAGACTGGGACCTAGTCAGCCCATGCCCACTCATCTCACGGGTGTGAAATGCAGATACAACTACCTGAAGATGATGGAACTCTGTCCTGAGAACCTTGACCCTAGAGAACTCTTACCTTGCTTTATCCAAGAGCCTCACAGGTGTAATAAAATCTTCAATGGGAATTAGCTCCTGGCTAGCTTTCTCCAGCCGTCTGATCCTCTTTTTCAGACGGTCCTTGACTGCTTGGTCTTTTTTAGGATCTACCTTTTTCTTCTTTCGCAGAGGTTCTGCTCTAATGGATAAAGCAAACATTAGACATTTTCCTCTTCAGTCTCACAAACCTGCTGAGAGACGTGGTGCTGGGTGAGGTGCCCGGAACTTGTACTGTGCTCTCCACTGGGAAAGGAACTATACGTGGGTCTAACCTCATGAGCTGAGTGTGAAAGGGGACGGCCTCCAACCCAGGGTCCTTGTCAGAACTGCGTGGGCACTGGCAACCCAGGAAGGGCTAGAAAAACTTCATGGGCCATCAGATATAAATTAAAAATAAGTACTCATCTTTCATGTTGGGTTTGGGTGTGTCTTGGGATTGCAGTGGAAACTAAAAACACCAAACTGATGAATTAGAAAATCATTACTCACATTTTAAATGGATTTGTCATTTTTTAAAAAGATTTTATTTATTTGAGATAGAGAGTGAGAGAGACAGCATGAGCAAGGTGGAGGTAGAAGGACAAGCAGAGACCCCTCTGAGCAAGGAGTCCAATGCAATGCAGGGCTCAATCCCAGGACCCTGGGACCATGACCTGAGCTGAAGACAGATCCTTGACCAACTGAGCCACCCAGGACCCCAGGCAGGATTTGTGATTTGTAAAAGTCAACTGAGTAATAAAAGTGACTGGTAGGTCTCTCTTTACTTTTTGGGATTTCTTAACAAATTTCCCATCCTAGAGCATTCACAAAAGTCCAGTGTACACTCAGGAACAGATCTCCTATGGGGATAATATACTATTAAAAATAAGTAAATCCTCTGGGTCCCCTGGGTTGTTCAGTAGGTTAACCATCTGCCTTCCACTCAGGTCATGATCCCCAGATTCTGGGCTTCAGCCTCACAGCCAGCCAGGGGGCCCTCCCTGCTCAGTAGGGTGTCTGCTTCTCCCTCTTCCTCAGCCCCTCCCCTGGTTTGGGCTCGCTCTCTCTCTCAAACAAATAAATAAAATCTTAAGAAAGAAAATAAGTAGGGCTGCCTTGGTGGCTCAGTGGCTTAAGCCTCTGCCTTCAGCTCAGGTCATGATCTCAGGGTCCTGGGATCAAGTCCCACATCGGGCTCTCTGCTGGGCGGGGAGCCTGCTTCCTCCTCTCTTTCTCCCTCTGCTTGTGATCTCTCTCTGTCAAATAAATAAAATCTTTAAAAAAAAAAGAAGTAAATCCTCTAGCATCAAGACTGAGCCTTGTGAATCAAGTCCCTAGAAAGCATCCAGACTCCTAGGTGGAAAAGCTAATCCTCATGCCTTTCTAGACCTCTCTGGGAAATCAGACATCTGTGCTGTGTCTTTTAAAACATACAACAATCACTTTAAAACTAATTTTTTTTTTTTAAAGATTTTATTTATTTATTTGACAGAGATCACAAGTAGGCGGAGAGGCAGGCAGAGAGAGAGGAGGAAGCAGGCTCCCCGCTGAGCAGAGAGCCCGATGCGGGGCTCGATCCCAGGACCCTGGGATCATGACCTGAGCCGAAGGCAGAGGCTTTAACCCACTGAGCCACCCAGGCACCCCTAAAACTAATTTTTATTTAATCCTTTTTTTTTTTAAGATTTTATTATTTGACAGAGAGAGATCACAAGTAGACGGAGAGGCAGGCAGAGAGAGAGAGAGGAGGAAGCAGGCCTCTTGCCGAGCAGAGAGCCCGATGCGGGACTCGATCCCAGGACCCTGAGATCATGACCTGAGCCGAAGGCAGCGGCCCAACCCACCGAGCCACCCAGGCGCCCCTATTTAATCCATTTTTATATTTAATTTTTGTTTTCTGATTACAGGCAGCAGTATTCCACATATAGAATGCTGAAAAACAGAAAAGCATATTTAGCTATATTATTTATATATATATAATTTATATATTTTATATATATATATATAATTTATATATTTTATATATATATATATATATATAATTTATATATTTTATATATATATATATTGGCTATATTTAGCCAAGAGGGGCACCTAGGTGGCTCAGTCCTTAAGTGTCTGCCTTCAACTCAGGTCATGATCCCAGGGTCCTGGGATTGAGCCCAGCATTAGGCTCCCTGGTCAGGGGAAACCCCTCTCCCTCTCTCATTCCCCCTGCTTGTGTTCCCTCTCTCGCTGTGTCTCTCTCTGTCAAATAAACAAAATCTTTAAGAAATAGTAAATTTAACCAAGATATTTTGCAGGCAAATAATTTTGCAAACCAAATGTCCTGTAGTCTTGTTCTGTTCATATGCACATCAGTCTCCTGCAGACACCCCCAAAGGGTCGGGCCCAGGGTAGTTTACCTCATGGGAATTAGTTCCCAGAAGAACAATAAAGAAGCTCGCTGGTGGGTATCTCTAATCTGTGTCTGCCAAGTTCCCAGGAGCCTGAAAAAGACAAAAGGATATATAAATATCTGACTCTCCTCACTAAACAGGAAAAGAACAAAAAAATATGCTATCCTTAAAATCTGGGGCCCTGGTAACTGCTGGATGTGACAAGTCAACGTGGGAGACTTGCCAAAACCCCCCGTTCACACCAGAGAGCACTTGGGCAGAGTCCCAGCTCGCCAGGGTCCTTGGATTTTCATCTACAGGAAGAGGCGCAATTAGCTAGCTCCTCCCTGAGATAAAGTGGTCAAGGGCGGTCGGAGAGAGAGCACAGGCGAGGGACCCCACGACCCTGCTGGGGTCCGCACTCACCAACTCCGTGAGCGCAGAGCGCGAGCGGAAACCCCTAGCGCCGCGAGTGCCATCGCCCCTCTGGCAGTCAACCCGCTGCTTCCGGGCGCCCGCCCCTTGGCGATCCGGTCCGCAGTGCCCCTCTCAAAGTTCCGGCCTTCCCGCCGCTCCGCGTTCCCGCGTTCCGGCTACAGAAGGCTGGGCTGAACCTGGACCGCCCCCGACGTGGCCCCGCCCCGCACGCCCCGGCGGCGCGTGGGCACGCCCCGAGCTGCTTGCACCTAGCTCTGCGTCTTCCTTTCCGTATCTGCGGGTCACTGCGAGCTCTTCCCTGCTGAGAGTACAATTCCATCAGCGGTTGCTCTAGCTCGTCGGCTTGTGTCCCTGCGAGGGCTGAGACCCCGCAGTGCAGCCAGAGTGACCGAGAGGGCGTCTTTCCGGGTACAAGTGCCTACGTCTCTGAAAATGGTCCCGATCTTCCTAAACGCACTCGTCTCGGTCTCCCCCGCGACCACCCACCGTCCCAGCCCTCAGGGCTAGCTCCCTCCCGCCATTTCGTCCTAACTGCGGGGCCCCGGCCACTGCTGGCCAGAGCATCCCGGCTCCGGCACGTGGCCTGGCGCTCGCGAGATGCCCAACAAACGCGTATTGATGAATGACGGAAACTAGCTAATTAGTCGGACTCGGCACCAGCGAGGTAGAGCTGGTGAGAGGGCCGTTCACGCCATCCCGACCCTTACTGGCTTCGCCGGCCCGGGCTGCAGCTCGAGGCCCAGCTCGCCAGCCGCCCTCCTAGTCGAGCCCCTCGTCGGCGACCGCGCCCCGGGCGGGCTCCAGGTGGGGTCACACTGCCCTGCCCCTGCCCGCGAAGAAGCCCGTGCGGCCCCGTCCGCGTGGGGAGCGGTTTCCCGCCGGGGCGATTTGGCAGGTGCGCGCCGTGACTTCCGGCGTTGCCCGGGAGCCGCCGGAGGAGGAGCGGCGCAGGGGATGCGGCTGTGGCGGCGGCGGCGGTGGCCGAGCGCGGGGGGCGGCTGTGGCGGCGGAGGGGGGCGCGGGCCGGCAATGGCGCGGCGGCGCTGAGGGCGCGGGGCGGGCGGCGGCCGGAGGGCGGCGCGGGAGGAAGCAGCGGCGGTGGCTCCATGGCCCGGGCGCGCTGAGGGACGCGGCTCTCGCCTCAGCCCGGCGGCGGCGGCGGCGGCCGAACAATGAAGCTCCTGAAGCCGACCTGGGTCAACCACAATGGTGAGTGCGCGCCGGGTTCGCGAAAGGCCGAGTCGGGGGTCGAGGCGGGGTCTGGAGCGGGGTCGGAGCCAAGCGCAGGCCCTGCCCTTCTCGGCCCCGACGCGCCCGGTGCCCAAACTGCGGGGTCGGCGGCAGCGGACTTTGTCCTCCGCCCGAGGAAGCCGGCGAGCACGGGCACGTGCTCCGCTTGTCCTCAGCGAATCCGCCCTCACTCCTGGCACTTGCACTGAGCCCTCAGTCGCCCACCCGTGGTCTGTGGAGGAGCCGCGGCCTGCCTCCGGGGAGCGGCCCTGGGCGCCAGCCAGCTCCTGCCACTCGTCTACAGCAGCCGGGATGTGCTCAGATGGTCCAGTGTGTGAAACTGGGGCCCACTTCCCTGTGTGGCTTTTCAGTGGCCGGGTGAACACCTGCAATCTGCATGTCTGCCCAGCTGGTGGGACTGTTACTGCTCCTGCCAGAGACCTGAATCTGGTGACAGTGCCCCCATTTGGGGGACTATGGCTTGGTCCCCAAGGTCCCCCAGCTGAACGAACCACGTTTATGCTGAGCTGAGACATCAGGGTGGCTTGGGTTGGAGCCTGTAGGACAAGGAGTGATCTAGGATAGGGCCTTCCTTAACCCTGTGGCGGTGGTCCCAAAGCGCACCCTGGGGGAACAGACTCTCCTAGTCCTCTGGTTGAGTGCATATAAGCCCCCAAAACTGGTAGAGCAGTTTGTCATAATTGTACTCTGTTGGCACAAGTACTGCAGGAGTTGGTCTTTGTTCCCGGGAGAGGTGAGGTGGGAGAGACCCCCATCCTCTTGCTGACAGCGCTGAAGCCCAAGGAGCACTCCTCCAGCCTAGGGCCTGTATCCCTGATGCCAGCCTGTCTGTGCTGACAGGAAAAGGGTCACCCTGATTCTGTCTTGTTCCTCATATCTGCTTTGCAAGGCGACTAGAGGGAGCTAGTGTTTCCTTTGAGAGCAAGTAAGGCCCCTTTTTTATACATGTGGAGCTTTTTAGTTTTGAACTTAATCCCGTGGTGCTGTACACTACCACAACTGAACTGAACATCTATGTTCTTTCAGTCAGAAGTATTTTCTCCTTCTGTCTTCTTATATGACATCTCTCTCATTTTTCAGGGTCCAGATAAGTTCACCTTATTTGTTGTTGTTGACATTCTTCCTGTTTTATTCCACTAGATGTGCCTAGTCCCTGTGTGTGTACTTTCCATATGCTCTCTCAGGGCAGGGGACTGCCACAGTCCCCTCTGTATTCCCTACCACATTCAACAGTACCTTCACACAAAGGGTATATGGTAAATATTGGTTGCAACAGGTAAGCTGAGGTTTGCGTAATTTACAAAGACACAACTAGACTTACTGTGCATGAAAGCAAAAGTGGTGAACTTTAGTTGGATTTTTCCAAGTGCTGACCTCCAAGAGCATTCCCTGATGTGTAGTTTGTAGATCTTTCCCTGGAGAATTGGGCAAATGTTCAGTGATTATAAATTATGGTGCTCATGAGTCTGGAAGGGAAAAATTTTGCTGTATAAGTGAAGATCTAAAGGAATTTTTGTTTTAAAATGCTTTGTCTGGATTATTTATTTATTTGTTTTAAAAATATTTTATTTATTTGTTTATTTGACAGAGAGATCACAAGTAGGCAGAGAAGGAGGCAGAGAGAGAGGAGGAAGCAGGCTCCCTGCTGAGCAGAGAACCCCGATGCAGGGCTCCATCCCAGGACCCTGAGATCATGACCTGAGCGGAAGGCAGAGGCTTAACCCACTGAGCCACCCAGGCATCCCTGAATCATTTTTTTAAAGATTTACTTATTTATTTTAGAGCAGGAGTGAGAGAAGCCAAGCTGGGGTAGGCGGGCAGCCGGAGGGAGAGAGGATCCTCTAGCAGACTCCCTGCTGAGCACAGAACCCAAGAAGGGGCTTGATCCCAGGACCCCGAGATCACCCCATAGATCAATTTTTGTGTATAATTTACCCTTCTTTAGTCTTTCTTCTATCTCTTGCCATATAATTTCTAACTTTGTGATAAACTCCTTTGTAGGACACAAGTTTTATGCTATGTAAGCATTAAGTGTGTCAAGATGCTCAAGCAATTATCTAGGTACAAATGAGCGAGAGTCTGCAACCAGGCCAGCAGCCAAACATTCCAACCTGGCAGAGTGGACAGAGCACTGGGCCCTGGCCTCTTGTTGCTGCAGTCTCTCCCTCCATGGTCCTAGAATGGAATAGGATAATAATTTGCTCTGGTTTCTTCACAGTACAGTTGTGATCTTTGGTTGCAAAGGTAGACACAAAAAAGCTCCCCAGGCTATAAAGTGCTTTAGAAATCTAAAAGGTAGTAATAAAAGAAATTGAAACTCTGGCAGGATAGGAGTTAAGTTTCCTTTCTTTTAAAATCTCCTGAAATCAGTCTCTGTCTTTTCAAGTGTTCAGAAGGACTGTCAGGGTTAATTACCACTGTCCTGAAGGACATGATAATAATCTGGATCACTACTGAGTGGTCTTTTAAAGACTGGTAAATAATGGGAGCTGCTGGGAGCAGGAGCTGCTTAGCCAGAAACCAGAGTTGTGGGTGGTGGCCAGTAAAATCATGCTTCCTTTGGACTAACAAACCCAGAAGACCATGGTGCTGTGGAGAGTGCATCATTGCACTTCCTGGATTCCTGACTCTGCATTCATATCTCCTGACTTGTTATTTGGCTTGAACATACTTTTTCTGGTGTCTGGGAGTCCAAAGAGGGAAGGAGCAGAGAGCCCAGTATTTTCCCTGTGGTAGCAGTGTCCATTCAGCCATGGTGGAGAGGACAGCTAGAATAAAGCAGGTTAAAGGCAAAGGAAGAAATATCTGTTGGGATGTAAGCATACTTTCGGTCTCCATTTTCCTGGCTAATAATAGTGGTAAGACCTTTCCTCTAAGGTAGGGTTTCTCAACCTTAGCTCTATTGACATTTTGAACCACCTAATTGTTGTGGGGACCATACTGTGTGCTGTAGGATGTTAGCATCCCTGGCCTTAACCCATTGGGATACCATTACCACCACCCCCACACACACACACCCAGCTGTGACAACCAAAAAGACCATCATAGTAATGGACTCCAGGTCTGCTGCATCATCCATCAGAGGGTCCTGCATAGAGGGGCACTTAGTGAATTCATCCATTCAACAAATAATGAGTACAGATTGTGTGCCAGGGGCTGAGTGCTGGAAATATACCAGTGAACCAAATGTAGCAGAGCCGCGATGGCCAGAATCAGCCCCAGTTGAGAATCACTGCTCTAAGGTGATCCCGTAAGTTGACAAATTTTGAAGTTGTTGTATCACAGTGAAATGAGCCTTGAACAAGGAATCAAACTGGATTCAAGATGCATTTCATGTATTAGCTGTAAATTCTTGGGCTTGTGATTCCACTTCTAGGTAAAGTTGAGGAAATATAAAGATTTGTTCCTGTGTTTTCACCCTGTACCCAAATATAAGAAAGCTATCTGAAGATATACAATAAGAGCTGATAACATTTATCATATATATGGAAGTATGTGCCAGACACTGTTAACACCTACACCTATTTTACTCTGTGTTCTTGGATACAGTATTTCTTATATATTTGATTTTATTTTAGGCTTGAAGGTTCTTTTCTAAGTTAGGTTATAGCCACATATTGGTCGGAAAGTGGATGATTGGGTTTTTGGTTGTAGAAAAATATAATTTATATGTTTAGAAAACTTCATTGAGACTCGTGGTTCTTCCCATCCCCGGGCCTTTGCTCCTGAGAGTGTCTGGAAGTCTTCACTCCTGGGCAGTGTTCATGCTCAGCTCTTCAGGGAAGCCCATTCTAACCAAAAGAGACAGAACTGAAAGAATTCTTGTCCTCCCTTGGCCTCTGGCTCACACTTTGATGGCATTGTTGTATAAAGGCATTTGGCAAATTTTCAGTACTGGGGTAATTTGTCAGTTAATCACATTTGCTTTATGATGTGTGTTTTTCCTCCTGCCCTGTAATTGGATTATATTTTCCCCTACCCTGTGTCCTTCCAGAAAAGATTTCAAGACATCGTTCTGAGACATACACCGATGAAAATAAATAAGTACGCTTGAAGGGGAAATGCAGGCACGGTGGTAGAATAATGAAGTCAGCAGCTGGTGTGGAAAGGCCCTGCACAGCTGCTAGAGGGGCACTGCAGACCTATCTCTGAGAACAGGCTGGGAGGATCCTAATAGTGATATTTTATGATTGCAGTGGTCATTAAGATAAGCCTTGCAATGCGTTTACATCAAGGGTTCTCAAACAGGCCAATGTCTGGAAACACATTTTGTTTTCACAACTGAAGGGGGGTACTACTGGCAGCTAGTAGGTAGAGGGCAGGA